ATATGGTCAACAAACTGAAGCCAGTGAAAAGTGTAAAGCAGTTTAAGAAAGATTTGAAACTCGTCGCAATCGAAATCCCAAAATAATTAAAAAAATGGGGCGGAAGGGAATGTACTTGAGTGCATGAAAAATGCTACGTTTAAAATTTCACCTGACAGTTCCATTTAAATTTATTACTCACTGTCTGCACGTCTGCACGTAGGCTTACGAAATATCCTTCTCCTGTGACCTCCAAACCGGCAAAATCAAGCCTAAATGTGGCTGCCTTATTCCAACGCATCTTCCAGCGGAAGAAACAGCTAGCAATTCTCATGAAACGTTTTGGAATACATACTCAAAATCTGAGCTGTTCGGTAACAGCCATGCATTACACCACCCGGAATACGAGAGGATATGTACCCGATAAAAATTTACGAAATGATTACTTTCCTACGCAACTGAACTTGTGCAGGTTTATTCATTCAGTCGTTTGCATGAAAGGCTTCTTCTAAATTTAAAACTTAATTGAACCTAGTATGCCCACTTTTCACTTTTTCGGAACCTTCCCTTTTGCCAAGTAACCTGGTATTTCTAAACAACGTAATATTCCTGAATAAATCGTAATGCGCCCTATTGCAAAGAATGACCATTTTTATTGCTGCAAGACTGCGTTTGAGTAACATGGAGTTACTTGTAAATTTTCTTGGACTTCACGGGTTAGATCACCTGCTGTAGAATGGGGCGGGGATTTTGGATTGATTTAGTAATTTGTGCAGTGAAATCAAAGACTAACTTGACAGATGGAAGCGATAATGCAAGACGCAGGTTCTTATTGTTAGAAAGATGAAGGCGGGATCACTTCATAGTTTGCTTTTCTAACTGTTGAGATAGACCTTCTCGGTGGACTCTGTTTTCGGGAATAAGCGGAATACCAGCTATATTTAAACTCCTCGTATGAGCGTTCACCGATCCGACTGCTTCTCGATACTCAGTCAAGAATGATGTCAGGCCACAGAAAAGCAGCTATGGTTGTTTCTAGCTTAGTGTACATCGTCTGTTAGCGATACGAAATCCACACAGGGAACGGCATGTTCAATTTAAACCCAAATTATGTGGCCAAAAATCTGCACACCACACGCCTATAATTTGCAATCGGGAATATTTAATTTTATACTATGAACTCTCACTGATCAGGTTTTGTGGCAGGATTTTCCGCTTCGTATTCGTGACTCATGATTTATACGTTATGCGTCATATTTCGAGGTGGCTAGATCTAGTTTCAAGGCATAATGCAACAAGAATGAAAGTAACTTGGTAGGCATTCCAAATACTGGATATTACCGATCACAAACGACAGTACACCGG